TACTTTTCGAGGGATATCTAATTCACATATTGGTTTTTCGTCCAAGTACTTTAATGTCGAGAAACTTGGTAAACTTCGCACTGACACGACCTTTTGTGCGTCTCATGTTTACACAACTTTTAGGGGGCAAGAAGATCTTAGTATAGCAGTTTCGTACAGTGTCTCGAGTTATCTAGAAAACCATAATTTGCTTCTAACAAAGTCCTGCCGAAAGCGATGAAAAAACTCACATAATATTGTACTTTAAGCAAAAATCCCTCTAGGTAACCTTCGTTTTTACTTCAACAAGTCGTTTTCGACAAATTTTGAAGTGTACATTCGATGGAGCTCTAAAAGTTGTCCATGCACCATAATTTTCAAGGTTTCAACAATTAAGCTGATCCGGTGACAAAACAAGCTTTTAAAGCACTGATTAATAATCGATGTGAGGGCAGGGCATTCAGGAAAACCTTTCCGACTTGGTTATAGTAAATCCCTCAGAACTGTGGAATATCTCATTTTGTAGAGAAAGGCTGGTTCCACAAAGGTAAAGTGTTAAAAATGGATAATGTTATATATAGAAAAACTATGATTAATTAAAAACGCACAAAAGTAGCAAAAAAATAACCGAAGATCGATTATTTTTTTGTGATTTTGCACATTTTGGAATATTTCAGTTTCTGTCACAAATAACATTAAAACTTTTTTAACACTTTACCTTTGTAGAAGCAACCTTTCTCTACAAAATGAGATATTCCACAGTTTTGAGGGATTTACTATAACCAAGTCGGAACGGTTTTCCTGAATGCCCCCACATCGATTATTAATCGGTGCATCCCTAGTTCTAACAGAGAATATTTGTATTCTAGTCCGATTACACAACCTCTGTTAACACATTTTTTAAGTGTTTTGTACATTATCAAAAGTAATGAGTTAACGCACTTTTGATGACCAAACATATTTAGATATTAATGATCACCAAAAAAAGATACTATTCATCGCCAGAATTTTGAGCATGCATCTCACATTTTTATTTCTCAAAAAATTTAAAGCTTTCCTAACTTTCTTGGGACGCCTTTTTGCTTTTCGTTTGCCTAATGGTTGAATACCTGTTCCATCGCTAACTTGATACAAACTAAATAAAATTGCTAATCCAACAGAATATTTACATGAATATACTATTAATGGTACAACAAGCCAACAGGATTGATACCACATCAAAAAACCATTGAATATAACCCACCGACAAGAACGATAAATATCTAACCAATGACACGTTCTATAGTTTCTGGTGTGGTAACAATCCTGTTGGCTTGTTGTACCATTAATAGTATATTCACGTAAACATTCTGTTGGATTAACAATTTTGTTTAACTTGTATCAAGTTAGCGACAGAACACGTATTCAACCTTCAGGCAAATGAAAAGCAAAAGGACGTCCCAAGAAAGTTAGCATAGCTTTAAACTTTTCAAATAGATATAAATAAAACTGTAAAAATATTGTTCATTTGGTTAAAATCTCAATGAAAATGTTTTTTACTGTACGTTATACTTTGTCGAGAAATAAAAGTGTAAGATGTATGCTCAAAATTATCTCTTTTCGGTGATTATTTGTATCCAAATATGTTTGATGATCAAAAAAATTGATACCCAAAAGTAATGATTGATTGAAAACGGGTAATTTTTTCTCGATCATTTTGACATTAAATGCGTACAACTCTTTAACCATTTGATGATGGGATGTATAAACCTCATATTCGTTATTACCTCACGAAACTGACTCAAATAATACGCACTCTAAACATCATAAATGCATTACCTCATATTAAAAATATAACATACCTTCGGCTAGAAAATAAAGCATTAGAATAATACAGAATAGCTAATGAACTAAACCTACTTAACTATAATCTAATCTTAACATAGACAGTATAATTAAAAGAAATAATATATCATACAAGGCTACAACGCTAATGTGTTTCTAACTACTAATATCAAAACTAACGCAATAGAAAGGATTATTATACTGCATCATATATGCTTTTCTAATGCCGAAGTACCCAATGACACGTTTTCTCTAACGTTAGAAGAAATTAGACAAGGTGAATCGAGAGTTTCACACTCAAAGACACTTATTTCCTTGTTTAAAATAACTATTTCTGATCGGAACATTATTTTGCACAAGATTTGGATGGTACTGTGAACGATCTTGAGATTTCAGCTGTGATGATTGTTCGGCATAAATATATATGCATGGTTATATTCCTTCAATAGGAAATGAACTTTTGCTGCTTCATGACAAATAAAACTTATCCTATCACTGGTCAAACACTGAATTTTTGATAGATGTATTGCGATATGTAGTGGGTCATATTGCTCGACTTTTTTTCTTTCATAAGACGCAATACACTGTTGTAATCGCTGTCGGTTTCTTTGTGTTGTTGTCGCCAAGTATCATAGGACTGGTGATTTCATCAACGTAATTATTTTCGTTTACGCTAGGCTATAAAAGAATAAAGTATGAGCTACAGGAATGAGCATAACTGTTCTCATAATTTTCTAATCCCTTGCTAATGTCAGTACTTCAACACGAAAGTTAAGTGTTATCCATTTACAAATTCATCTAACACTAAGTTTTCAAGTTACCTGATCTACAAGTCGATTTGTGAAGAGCGTTGATGGGACAATGGACAAAACGATTAAGGAAAAGCGTTTTGTTTTGTTAAAAAAAATTAAAAAGCACATTCTGATTTTCTAAAGATTTCTCTAATTGTAGCGAGAAGAAAATACATCATTAAAACTTGATACTTTCCAAAGTTTTTTTTCTACCTGAAAGCATTGTAAGCGTTAAAGAGCAGTACTGGTTACATACAGATCGCTTCAAGTGTTTATTTTCAGATAAAATTACCTTGTAAGTATAGAAAGGAGAAGAAGAATAACTATCTTCATATGCAGACCACAGAAAAATATTTTTTACAAAAATGTCTTTAACGCCAGAATTAAAAGTATTTCGTCATATCTGGGGCATGGAACTATTTTCCACAGACTACAAGGAACTTCTACCCGAATTTCGACGTCTTGGCTATTCGGGAATCGAAGCTTCGCTCAATGACATCAAACGTTTGTCGAACAATTTTCAAGATGAAACTGATTTCATTCAGACTCTGGCCGATAACAATCTGGAGCTCATCGGTTTGTGCCGAACAAACTGGCCAGACTTTGAAGAACTGACAGAGTGGCAGGATTTCTCGGTTGATCAACATGTGAAGCACATGAAACAGCAGCTGGATGCAATGATGAAGTACAAGCCGATTCATATTAATATTCATGCAGGGCAAGACAGTTGGTCATATGCAGAACAGGAAGAATTTTTCAGGCAAACTTTGGCTATCCAGGCGCAGTATCCGGTTCCGTCCTCACACGAGACCCACCGATGTCGATCACTATTTCATCCACATCTAACTGAACATTTACTCGCAAAATTCCCTCAACTCCGTCTAACAGCTGACTATGCCCACTGGGTCATTGTCTGTGAACGTTTGCTCACGCATCCGACCGACTGGGAAAGAATGAAACGCGTGGCTGAACGCGTTGATCACGTTCACGCGCGAGTCGGACACACTCAGCATGCACAAGTCAGCGATCCTCAGTTAAAGCAATGGGAACGGGAGGCGAGTGTTATGCAGC